CGGATTATCTGAATGCCTTTGTATCCCAGAGTTACACCTGAAATTCTGTGAAGTGTCACTGTCTAACTTTCTCTGAGCTGATTCGACAGATGACCTTCTAGTGTTAAGCTGTTGACCTGTGTCCATGATCTCTGATGACTTTGACCTCTGTGGCTGACCAGTGTCCCTGTACTCTGAAGCCACCTGCTCTTGCTCCAATAGTTGGTGTCTCTCTTGGTCTACAGTCCCAGATTCCACCTTAACAATGCTCAGATCAAGACCAAGTTGATTCCCAGACTCTGACCTGCAATTATTTTATTTACCTGGTAGTACACAGGTCTTATATTCAACGTACGACATATAAACTACATTGTACAAATTCTTTTCTCTCTATTATTGTATATACTGCACGTACCTTTGTGACTTTAATCCTGTGTATTTATTGGGACCACAGGACTCCGACTCCTGATCACTAGCTCTCACCAGAGTTCGTTCACTGATATCTGGAGGAGGGGTCTCCTCATTACTGTTTGGTGTTGCAGTGGAGGTAGCAGGAGTTTTAGCTGAGGAGGAAACTGGTGTTCTAGAATGCACTGAAGAGGAGTATAAAGTCACTGAAGGCTGAGTACATGTAGTAGCACTGTCACAACACTCCTCCGTGGGGGTCACGACACTGGTCTCTTTATTAGGTTCACTGTGACTGACCACCCCCACCCCTACACTCAGACACGATCCTCCCCTATCTCCTGGCTCTGTCTGTACCAGCTCTAAACTGTCCTGTAGAACATCTCCACCCTGGAGACTCTTTGACTGGTCAGATATGTTGCCATAGTTACTTGTGGTGGTTGTCATCTGACTGCTGTTGTGTCTTCTTTTAGTTTTCTTCACATACGAATCATGAGACAGATCATGTGACCTTTTGACCTGAGTGTCTGGCATGGTTCTGTGTAATTCTGAGGTGCGGACATGACGGAACTCAATCATATCACAGAAGGAATAGCGGTACTGGTCTCTGCTGGACAATGTACCAACTTGGTCCACCAGACTCTTACAGAAATCAGCGCAGCACTTGATAACACTGTCCACTTGTAAGAGACGCCCTATCTTCTCAATATCTCTGTAGTTGTCCTCTGTTATCATAATAAAGCCCTCGTATAGGTACTGTAGGAATGACAGTACAGACTGCTGCTTTATATCGGGGGACAGTCGAATCTCTAGCTGGGATCCTGATGCTGCATGCTCCATCGACTGCAGCATAGGGCATGCTGCCATCATAACCACTCTATGAGCCTGAGAAAAGGGTAAGTTAGATGAGAATTTGAAAAACAAAGTTACTAAATTACTTTATTTGCCATGCAAATAGTACATAACTGAGTTTTAAAAGCATGAAGATGTAAATCTGGATAAATTTTAAATATTTGACTTGGGTTTATCTTACCTTTGTGTTGACTGTGCCGGCTCGTATGACAGCGTCACACATTATATCATTTTTCCACATCGAGGCCAGCTGACAAAGCAGGGAGCTGGAGTGGATGGGATTCGTGTAAAACTTCTGATAACTCATTCTGTTCTGGACATTCTGATTTTTTTTAAAAAAAATGTGCTTATAATACGCAAACCACAAGATCAGGAAGGTCTTTCCATCATTTTAATGTTAATTTAAATAACTTGCATTTGAAAATATTATCAATATCATTTTTTTGAGATTTGGCCTATTCATTAATTTTTGAACAAGTCGATATTACTTGAGAGAAAAAAATAAAAATTCAGGAAATAAGTTTGATTTGGTAGCAAAGAAAAGTTTGCTTGGGTAGAAAAATGAAGCTACGTAGGTAATTTAAGCTACATTGCTAAATCACGTGTTTATTGTAAGAGGCTCTGCAACTTATAATACCTCTTTAAAAGAAAGAATGTTGAATTTTCTGCTAAAATCTTAATACAAAAGAGGAAAATATTAAACACTTACTACTGGATACCAATCAAAACATAGGACGTCACTAAAGCAGGAAAACTCGCTTTTAAGGCTTGTAATATTTTTAATCTGAATCTGTCATATTGTTCTTTCACTTTCTGAAGAATGACGATCCCGACTTATTTTTCTTTAAAAAAAAAAAAAAAAGTTCACAATTACTATCGCCAGAAGCGATTACAAAATTATTTAAGATTATCTTATTAAAATCTTAAAACTACGGAATTTGATAAATAAATAAATAATCATGATGTCCAACGAGAGCCTTTTAAATAATCCGGATATTGTAGGACCACCTGAAATGAGTTTAAAGCTTTTTTGTACCGGAAGTTTACATTGGTAACCCCCGACTGGCCTCAAGTTCTGACAAGACTCGACAAGAGGTTTGATACATTGCCAGGTACAATTTAACTTCCTTTCATTTTTATCAACAAATGATAATTTTTTTTTCATTGCAATGTTTTCAATCAAATGATACAAAGAACAGAAACCGAAATACACAGGTTTTGAAATGTGTAATACCTTGCTGCAGATTTTGATACGGGTACCGAATGTAAACACAAAGGTACACACTTGTCACTGTTAATTGAGATATTTTATCACTAAAGTATGTGAAAACAATTTGGAATCCAACATTCGCCTCCTTAATTCGTTTCACGGGCACTGGAAGTTAAAGTAAATAGACTAAATACTAATTAAGAATGTGCATGTAACATGCAAATACAATGTAGATCTACTCAGTATTTGTAAACATAACCTTCCAGTGCCCGTAATTCGTTTAGCTTGCTTCTAATTACAAGGCCAACATCATTAAAACAAATATGACATTTACTGGTTTAGTGTATTTGATCTGCAAATCAAAATTAAAGTCAGATTTGACCTAAATACATCTTTATTCAGTAAAGAATCATGTTTGTCTGCCATTCCTGAAAACAAATCCCCTTGAACCAATATTTTTCTCAAATCAAAAAATATTATCTTAAAGAATAACAGTGATGATACAGTATCTATATTTCTAGGCTTAAAATGAATGACAATGAGGAAACCGATTCTGAATGGGACAGCACTCTGGATTTTACTTCTCCCCGACAGACGGGGGATAAGCGATCCGTTCCCCCGGAGATTGAGGATGAGGAGGCTAGTCGCCAGGATTCCGTCGTGGAGAGACCCAAACCGAAGGAGAGGACCTCCCTCCCAGCCAGTATGTCATATATCACATCTGTTCCCAAGGCTGTTTTTGTTTAAGTATTGCTAACTTCAGGTTTTAAGCAATTTTTAAATTGGCCCCTTTAACCCGAACTTAGTCAAGAAATAATGATTTAAGGCATGAAGGGGGGTCATTATAATTAAATTATGATTAAAGAACAGAGTAGTAAATTTTTTCATAGCTTGATAAGAATGGAGAAATTATGAATAGCAAAATGAATGACTACACAGAATGTGTATTGAGTTTTCTTCTGCTGTTTTATTGTTTTAGATCATGATGTGTATTGAGTTATCTATGGCCGTTTTATTTTTTTAGATCAGACTCCTGAGGACTACACCTATGCAGAAGTCGTAAGAAAAGAGTACGTCAATTACAAACAAATGGAAAGAAATCCTTACAAAAGACGATGTGAATTTATTTTTGACTCAAAACCTTTTTTTACGTATATATTATTAAAGACAGGAAGCTTAATATCAACTTGAGACTAATTATTTGAATTAAATGTGATCGAAATATTCTTTATATTTCCTCAGTAAACAACCACAGAAGAAGTCAAAAGAAAGCCCACCTCCTTACAACTTCAGACCAGCTGTTTCTGGTACAGTCAATGCTCTAGCATTCTATCACTGAGAGAGTTCACAAGATTTATAAAGTTCGAAGTGAAAAAATTATTTTATTTTCCGATTTTAACTGGATAAAAACACAGGTCTTTTTCCCAGGAGCAAACAAGAATATTGCCCACTTGGGAATAAGTGCATGAACACTCTCATGAATAATAAGTCCAAATCTAGATATTTTTATGACAAACAAAAGACTTTAAGAGATTTTAACATTTTTTATTACAAGTTTAGAAAATGTCTGCTGCATTGTGAGCACTATAAGGGATTTTCTTTCCTCATTCTTTTTTTCAGTTAGAGCGCTATATAAGTCAGTTAAGTGATGTTGCCCTTTGGACTTTTTATTACCCATATTTAAGTAGCTCTGTTAAATATTTTAGGGAACATTACACCCCAGAAAACAGAGCCTCCTCCCGGTAAAGACAAAAAGGGAACAACTTATGATGTCACAACAAAAGGGAAAACCCCGGCATCACAAGACAGCATAATGAGTAAGACAAAAAAATTCAATAACAATCTTATCAAACTTAAACTCTGTCATTTTAATACAGCTCATCGAAATCCAAAGATGAACTTTTGAAATTATTCTCAGCTAGCAGTATTAATATAAATAACCTGGAAATAAGAATTCAGTGGATGTCAGTAGATTTGTTAACTGTGTGTGAAAAATATTTTCACTCTACAACCTCATCAGTATGTGATTGATGATGATGACAGAAGAAATAGGAATATGATAGAATAAGTTTATTTTTCACTGTGTATGATATTTGATTATGTCCCCTGATCAGGCACAGGTTCCTGGGATGATACAGATGAAGATGAGAAGACCCTGAGGGAGCTAAGAGAGACGTTTAAAACAGAGAAAAAGAAGGAACAGGAAGCTGAATCACTCAGGCTCAGACTGGAGAGTCAGGCAGAGGGTAGGGACTCATATTAGGCTATCAGTAGGGCACTAGATTATACTCAGGCTGGAGAATCAGGCAGAAGGTAGGGAACTAAATTAAGCTATCAGTAGGGCACTAAATTAGACTCAGGCTGGAGAATCAAGAAGAGAGTAGGGAACTAGATTAGGCTATCAGAAGGATACCAGACTAAACTCAGACTGGAGAGACAAGAAGAGGGTAGGGAACTAAATTAAGCTATCATTAGGATACTAGATTAGACTCAAGTGAGAGAGTCAAGAAGAGGTAGGGACCAAAATTACACTGATCCTGATAAGACTTATGATGAAGAGTCAAACAATAGGTATGGACTCAATTAGGCTATCAGTAGGGTACCACAATTGCAACTTTTAAGCCTTTCTGACAAGCAAAAAAACTACCTCTAATGGTTTTGTAGGCATCTGTGATGATCCCCCTTATCATAAATTTTAAAAGAAATGTGGGATTGAGATCTCTTATCTGTATAATATGAAGTTTAAGTTCACTGAACATAAAGATATTACATAAAATATATGCTAGATGGTACTTTCAACTCAGTGTTTTAATAAATCTGAAGTGACTCCATTTTCTAAAGATTTTTAAAACAAAGTGATGTAAATACATTTGAGGTGTTTTTCCGAGTTTGATTTAAAGGGTCATAGAAGATGTGATTGTAAACAGCTGACTAGGCACTCAGTGACTCATGTAATTGATCTGCATTATGACAGAAGGCCACCAGTAGCTGGCATTATATAAACTTATCAATGTTGTATTTCTCAAAATAACCAGAATTTCTTCACAATGATATTTTCCATGATTTTTTTTTTTAATAAAGCATGCATTTTATAGTGCTCATATTAAATTACTTCTAAAATTGTTTGTCATTGAGCAGATATTAAAGCAGATGAAGGCCAACTAACCAACAGGTCTGAGAACACATGGAAAAGTTGGGCCAGTTTTGGGAATAAGCTTGGTAGATCCTCAAATCGTAGCAACAAAGGAAAGAAAAAAAAGGTAATAGCCTGCAGGCAACACACATGAGAAAGAGTTAACTCCCTTAACATAAAATCCAATCATCTCAACAAAAGCTATTTGACTGTGCTGATAGTCATGGGAAAACTATGAAATGATGTGAATTTACTAAACATTTATCAAATACTCTCATGTTAAAGATTATTTGTTAAACACTGTTAAAAGAACATGAAAGAGACAATTTATTAAACATTCCTTTTAATATTTAGTGATAGTCTGCCACAGAAAAAAAATGCACATATACTGTGCCAACATGCATATATTTATTATCTTATACTATGATTTTAAAATTACTATTATATTATGATTACAGTTTATGATATTATTAGTCTAAATTAAGTGAAATCTTCCCTGATTACAGGAGGGTAAGTCTGTCCCCATGTACCGTGACAAGAGTCATTATGATGTGTGTTATAATTAGTCTTAATTACTGAGTAACTGAAATCTACCCTGATTACAGGAGGGTAAGTCTGTCCCTACGTACCGGGATGAGGGTCATTACGATGCAGTGGATGTGGCCCAGGTCCGGGCAGCCGTCCAAAGACAGGAGCCTCCCGCACACAACATGTTCCAGGCTCAGCCCCACAATGAGGTCAAAGAGCAGGGCCAGCCACCCGACAAGGACCACGATATCAGCTTCTCTGACTACAAACCAGCCAACATGGCGCCACCTTACATTGTCAAAGAGGAAGCGGGGTAAGTCATGGTGTAGTGCTAGTGTGTAACTGTAGACTGGCAAATATTCAAGATTGTTTTAATTTCACTATGTTCGCGATTTATCATTTTTTTGCAAAATTAAACCTATCGTGAATGCTATCATTAGTTTTT